GGCTATCTTCTCTATATTTTCCACTCGAACATTGTCTTAAAATTTTGCAATATTCTGATTTTGAATGTCTTTGTTTATACCTCTCACCTTAAACATCTGATATTTTTATTATCTAGAGCTCTGTTAAAAAAAGAACAAAAAAATCTAAAAAAATGAAAAGAACAAAAAATGATATGAAAACAAAATGATGAACAGAGTTCTAGATAATAAACATTGAGGGTGGTGTAAAAAGTGGGCATATTTTAAATTTTCTTTTTATGCCCCACCTAGGGCAAATTATTTCAATATCAATTTATTACATGCAGGGGTCACTAAAGATTAAAAAGGGGGGATTTAGGAGTAGGGAATGGTATTAGAATGTCAAGAACATGGCAAAATTCAAATTGAACCAATATTGAAATAATTGTTAACCGGATTTCCAACGGAAAAATCAGTTATTGATTTGGGGATGTACTGTGGGTGGGCGGCTGCCGAACAGTGTCGTGCATTTACTCATGAACCATTCAACCAAAGCTTTTCAAATTTTAAAATGTTGTTACTGATGACAAAATGGAAGTCAAGTTCAATATTAACGATTTTCACTTTCACCGTTCATGAGTTATGGTTCTTGAATGATTGAAAAATGGTGTTTCCAATCGTGCCCGTGCTTTAACTTGTGAAACGTTCAACCAAAGCTTTTCAAATTTTAACATGTTGTTACTGATGACAAAATGGAGGTCAATTTCAAATTGGTGATTGTCACTTTTACCGTTCAGCAGTTATGGTCCTTGTGCTATTGAAAAATGCCAGGACACAAATCAATGTTAAAAAATCCAGTTTGCTGTCACTCTGACAGCCTCTTAAATTGTTTTTTTGTCAATCGGTACATTTTTTTTTTTTGGTTTCAAAAATGGCTATCTTCTCTATATTTTCCACTCGAACATTGTCTTAAAATTTTGCAATATTCTGATTTTGAATGTCTTTGTTTATACCTCTCACCTTAAACATCTGATATTTTTATTATCTAGAGCTCTGTTAAAAAAAGAAAAAAAAAATCTAAAAAAATGAAAAGAACAAAAAATGATATGAAAACAAAATGATGAACAGAGTTCTAGATAATAAACATTGAGGGTGGTGTAAAAAGTGGGCATATTTTAAATTTTCTTTTTATGCCCCACCTAGGGCATATTACATGCAGGGGTCATTAAAGATTAAAAAGGGGGGATTTAGGAGTAGGGAATGGTATTAGAATGTCAAGAACATGGCAAAATTCAAATTGAACCAATATTGAAATAAATGTTAACCGGATTTCAAACGGAAAAATCAGTTATTGATTTGGGGATGTACTGTGGGTGGGCGGCTGCCGAACAGTGTCGTGCATTTACTCATGAACCATTTGACCAAAGCTTTTCAAATTTTAAAATGTTGTTACTGATGACAAAATGGAAGTCAAGTTCAATATTAACGATTTTCACTTTCACCGTTCAGGAGTTATGGTTCTTGAATGATTGAAAAATGGTGTTTCCAGTCGTGCCTGTGCTTTAACTTGTGAAACGTTCAACCGAAGCTTTTCAAATTTTAACATGTTGTTACTGATGACAAAATGGAGGTCAATTTCAAATTGGTGATTGTCACTTTTACCGTTCAGCAGTTATGGTCCTTGTGCTATTGAAAAATGCCAGGACACAAATCAATGTTAAAAAATCCAGTTTGCTGTCACTCTGACAGCCTCTTAAATTGTTTTTTTGTCAATCGGTACATTTTTTTTTTTTGATTTCAAAAATGGCTATCTTCTCTATATTTTCCACTCGAACATTGTCTTAAAATTTTGCAATATTCTGATTTTGAATGTCTTTGTTTATACCTCTCACCTTAAACATCTGATATTTTTATTATCTAGAGCTCTGTTAAAAAAAGAACAAAAAAATCTAAAAAAATGAAAAGAACAAAAAATGATATGAAAACAAAATGATGAACAGAGTTCTAGATAATAAACATTGAGGGTGGTGTAAAAAGTGGGCATATTTTAAATTTTCTTTTTATGCCCCACCTAGGGCAAATTATTTGAATATCAATTTATTACATGCAGGGGTCACTAAAGATTAAAAAGGGGGGATTTAGGAGTAGGGAATGGTATTAGAATGTCAAGAACATGGCAAAATTCAAATTGAACCAATATTGAAATAATTGTTAACTGGATTTCCAACGGAAAAATCAGTTATTGATTTGGGGATGTACTGTGGGTGGGCGGCTGCTGAACAGTGTCGTGCATTTACTCATGAACCATTCAACCAAAGCTTTTCAAATTTTAAAATGTTGTTACTGATGACAAAATGGAAGTCAAGTTCAATATTAACGATTTTCACTTTCACTGTTCAGGAGTTATGGTTCTTGAATGATTGAAAAATGGTGTTTCCAGTCGTGCCCGTGCTTTAACTCGTGAAACATTCAACCAAAGCTTTTCAAATTTTAACATGTTGTTACTGATGACAAAATGGAGGTCAATTTCAAATTGGTGATTGTCACTTTTACCGTTCAGCAGTTATGGTCCTTGTGCTATTGAAAAATGCCAGGACACAAATCAATGTTAAAAAATCCAGTTTGCTGTCACTCTGACAGCCTCTTAAATTGTTTTTTTGTCAATCGGTACATTTTTTTTTTTTGGTTTCAAAAATGGCTATCTTCTCTATATTTTCCACTCGAACATTGTCTTAAAATTTTGCAATATTCTGATTTTGAATGTCTTTGTTTATACCTCTCACCTTAAACATCTGATATTTTTATTATCTAGAGCTCTGTTAAAAAAAGAAAAAAAAAATCTAAAAAAATGAAAAGAACAAAAAATGATATGAAAACAAAATGATGAACAGAGTTCTAGATAATAAACATTGAGGGTGGTGTAAAAAGTGGGCATATTTTAAATTTTCTTTTTATGCCCCACCTAGGGCAAATTATTTCAATATCAATTTATTACATGCAGGGGTCACTAAAGATTAAAAAGGGGGGATTTAGGAGTAGGGAATGGTATTAGAATGTCAAGAACATGGCAAAATTCAAATTGAACCAATATTGAAATAATTGTTAACCGGATTTCCAACGGAAAAATCAGTTATTGATTTGGGGATGTACTGTGGGTGGGCGGCTGCCGAACAGTGTCGTGCATTTACTCATGAACCATTCAACCAAAGCTTTTCAAATTTTAAAATGTTGTTACTGATGACAAAATGGAAGTCAAGTTCAATATTAACGATTTTCACTTTCACCGTTCAGGAGTTATGGTTCTTGAATGATTGAAAAATGGTGTTTCCAATCGTGCCCGTGCTTTAACTTGTGAAACGTTCAACCAAAGCTTTTCAAATTTTAACATGTTGTTACTGATGACAAAATGGAGGTCAATTTCAAATTGGTGATTGTCACTTTTACCGTTCAGCAGTTATGGTCCTTGTGCTATTGAAAAATGCCAGGACACAAATCAATGTTAAAAAATCCAGTTTGCTGTCACTCTGACAGCCTCTTAAATTGTTTTTTTGTCAATCGGTACATTTTTTTTTTTTGGTTTCAAAAATGGCTATCTTCTCTATATTTTCCACTCAAACATTGTCTTAAAATTTTGCAATATTCTGATTTTGAATGTCTTTGTTTATACCTCTCACCTTAAACATCTGATATTTTTATTATCTAGAGCTCTGTTAAAAAAAGAAAAAAAAAATCTAAAAAAATGAAAAGAACAAAAAATGATATGAAAACAAAATGATGAACAGAGTTCTAGATAATAAACATTGAGGGTGGTGTAAAAAGTGGGCATATTTTAAATTTTCTTTTTATGCCCCACCTAGGGCATATTACATGCAGGGGTCACTAAAGATTAAAAAGGGGGGATTTAGGAGTAGGGAATGGTATTAGAATGTCAAGAACATGGCAAAATTCAAATTGAACCAATATTGAAATAAATGTTAACCGGATTTCAAACGGAAACGTCAGTTATTGATTTGGGGATGTACTGTGGGTGGGCGGCTGCCGAACAGTGTCGTGCATTTACTCATGAACCATTCAACCAAAGCTTTTCAAATTTTAAAATGTTGTTACTGATGACAAAATGGAAGTCAAGTTCAATATTAACGATTTTCACTTTCACCGTTCAGGAGTTATGGTTCTTGAATGATTGAAAAATGGTGTTTCCAGTCGTGCCTGTGCTTTAACTTGTGAAACGTTCAACCGAAGCTTTTCAAATTTTAACATGTTGTTACTGATGACAAAATGGAGGTCAATTTCAAATTGGTGATTGTCACTTTTACCGTTCAGCAGTTATGGTCCTTGTGCTATTGAAAAATGCCAGGACACAAATCAATGTTAAAAAATCCAGTTTGCTGTCACTCTGACAGCCTCTTAAATTGTTTTTTTGTCAATCGGTACATTTTTTTTTTTTGGTTTCAAAAATGGCTATCTTCTCTATATTTTCCACTCGAACATTGTCTTAAAATTTTGCAATATTCTGATTTTGAATGTCTTTGTTTATACCTCTCACCTTAAACATCTGATATTTTTATTATCTAGAGCTCTGTTAAAAAAAGAAAAAAAAAATCTAAAAAAATGAAAAGAACAAAAAATGATATGAAAACAAAATGATGAACAGAGTTCTAGATAATAAACATTGAGGGTGGTGTAAAAAGTGGGCATATTTTAAATTTTCTTTTTATGCCCCACCTAGGGCAAATTATTTCAATATCAATTTATTACATGCAGGGGTCACTAAAGATTAAAAAGGGGGGATTTAGGAGTAGGGAATGGTATTAGAATGTCAAGAACATGGCAAAATTCAAATTGAACCAATATTGAAATAATTGTTAACCGGATTTCCAACGGAAAAATCAGTTATTGATTTGGGGATGTACTGTGGGTGGGCGGCTGCCGAACAGTGTCGTGCATTTACTCGTGAACCATTCAACCAAAGCTTTTCAAATTTTAAAATGTTGTTACTGATGACAAAATGGAAGTCAAGTTCAATATTAACTATTTTCACTTTCACTGTTCAGGAGTTATGGTTCTTGAATGATTGAAAAATGGTGTTTCCAGTCGTGCCCGTGCTTTAACTCGTGAAACATTCAACCAAAGCTTTTCAAATTTTAACATGTTGTTACTGATGACAAAATGGAGGTCAATTTCAAATTGGTGATTGTCACTTTTACCGTTCAGCAGTTATGGTCCTTGTGCTATTGAAAAATGCCAGGACACAAATCAATGTTAAAAAATCCAGTTTGCTGTCACTCTGACAGCCTCTTAAATTGTTTTTTTGTCAATCAGTACATTTTTTTTTTTTGGTTTCAAAAATGGCTATCTTCTCTATATTTTCCACTCGAACATTGTCTTAAAATTATGCAATATTCTGATTTTGAATGTCTTTGTTTATACCTCTCACCTTAAACATCTGATATTTTTATTATCTAGAGCTCTGTTAAAAAAAGAAAAAAAAAATCTAAAAAAATGAAAAGAACAAAAAATGATATGAAAACAAAATGATGAACAGAGTTCTAGATAATAAACATTTAGGGTGGTGTAAAAAGTGGGCATATTTTAAATTTTCTTTTTATGCCCCACCTAGGGCAAATTATTTCAATATCAATTTATTACATGCAGGGGTCACTAAAGATTAAAAAGGGGGATTTAGGAGTAGGGAATCGTATTAGAAAAAAAAATTAAATAATATGAAAACAAAATTGTAAACAGAGTTCTAGATAATAAACATTGAGTATGGTGTAAAAAAGTGGGCATATTTTAAATTTTCTTTTTTCTCAATATATCGTTAAAATCATATACATCTGATATTTATATTATGTAGAGCTCTGTTAAAAAAAAGTATATAAACACAAAATTGTAAATAAAGGTTAGTGTAAAAAAGTGTGCATATTTCTATTTTTTTTTTTCTCAATATAGTGATGAAATTATATACATCTGATATTTTTATTATCTAGGGCTCTGTAAAAAAAAAATAATTAGAAAACAATATTGTAAACAAAGTTCTAGATAATAAAAATTGAGGGTGGTGTAAAAAGTGGGCATATTAAAAAAAAAAAAAGAATTTTCAATATATTTATTAATACAACATATTTTTTGGTGAATGATTTGTGCTGGATAAGTTTTTTCTTTCATTAGTATATGACTTTTTTTTTCAAGCTGTACATTTTTTGTGGTATCGTAAATGGCTTTAAAGTTGGAATGTTTAATTTTAGTTATTTGGAGACAAAATCTATCTTCTCTGATTATTACACTTTAACAGTGTCTTAAATTTTGCAATATTCTGATTTTGAATGTGTTTGCTAATACCTCTAACTTTAAACAGCTGATATATGTATTGTCTAGAGCTCTGTAAAAAATATATGAAAACAAAATTGTACACAGAGTTCTAGATAATAAACATTAAAGGTGGTGTAATAAGGGGGCATATTTTAAATTTTGGAATAATTATCCAAATATGTGAATTTTTTGTTCAGTGTTATAAAGGAAAGTATAATATATATTTGGGTATAAAGTGGAATATTCAAAGTGGGAGAGAAAGAAATTTGGATGGCAAGAACTGAATATTCCAAATTTGAAGTGTTCAAAGTTATATTCGTTGATATATATATATAATGGAATATCTAAAGTGTGGGAGAGGGAGAGATACAGATTTTGAAGAATAATGAGGGAGAGAAAAGTTTGGTTTAGGAGAAAGAATGAGAAAAGGAGGATATTAATTGTAAAAACAGATTGTCAGGGACTAGAATATTTGTTTATTACTATAAATAATGCAGTGTATAATTTGTTAAAATATTTATTGTGAAGTCTTGGAGAATTGTGAAACTTTAGAACTGTGTCTTCAATGATAATCATGGCAATGGTGGACAATAGGATAATGTTTGAAGAAACTGAATTTTTATATAAAAATGAAATAGAAGAAAGATCCAACAAAATTCTACAATGATATCTTAGAGAATGAAAGACTGTGAGAATGACTATAAGCTTAAATGATTTCTAGGAGATTGTTGGACATGTACAGTCGGACAACTGGCACAACTCCAGCTAAAAGTAATTGCTAAAAAATCTACGAACTTACATAATGTTCTATAGTGAAGACAGATGTTCCTGAGTTGCAATGAAGTATTCAGAAGACAGACCGAGAGCTTCCCTTTTGCAATAAAGTATCCAGAACACATAGCTGATCAGATTTCCATCTCTTCATTACCAATTCTGGCATTTTCCCAAGAAAAACACAAGGTATAAATAGTTTGTCTGTAAAAAGTGTATTATTTTCATGGATTTAAATTTTGAATTCCAAGGGCCTAACCTCACTTAGTGTGGATTTATTGTGTGATGTTCTTGTTCCTGATTTAGGATATTTTTGCAATCAATATCTATTTGATAAATTTGATAAATGTTTTAGTTTATCCTGGTTTTCTTTTTTATTGTTGAACAGAATGTATTGTAAGGCAGCAGGATTTTTTGATTTGTTGATTATTTGTATGATCCACCTGAATTGATTTTACAAGTTAAAAAAAAACAAATTGAATGCAAACAAAGGGAAATAATTTATTAAATCATGACCAAAAAAATCCCAGTTAACAATTGAAAAAGAGCTTAAAAGTAACAACATTGACTGTATAAGCTTACATCTTACTACAAGTTATAGATCATGGCCCCAACTTCTAATTAGAGGGGATTCTTTGCTAGAAGAGAATCTTGTTATAACCATCCATTGAATAACACTGATAGAGGTTAAACAACAACATAGACAATATAAAAAAAAGAAGAAATATATCAACAAATACCATCATAATTATGAAAATAAGGAGAAGTGGTATGATTGCCAATTGAGACAACTATTCAGCAGTGACCTAATGACATCAATTAGTCACATTGAGATCATTATAAAATTAGAAAAAAAACAAACAAGCAATACAAAGATCTGAATGGAACAGTTTTGATTTAAGGAAATTATTTCAAGTCCAGTATGTAGACATGCCATTCATAAAAGTGAAATATTTTTATTCCAGATTTCATTATTCAACATGAAAGGAGAAATTCTTTAGATTTACACTGGTGTAGATCTCAAGGCGAGGATCCTATACAGACCTGCAGGATGATTTAAGATTTCTTGTAGTCAACATCTTGTCCTTGAGTAAATCCTTGGACTTTGGAGCAAAAGATTATATAATTCTAGGTAATAACATTTTAATTTAAACACTATTGATTTAGAAATAAAAGCTATTTATCAATATTAAAAAGGGGACAAAATAAATTCGATATTTCATGCAGAAACAAGGATTGGCAAACAACATTTTTTACAAAGTAACTTTTTGTTGGACTTTTAACATTTTTATATTTTAAACCAAGCAAAAGTTTGTTGTACGGGCCTCAGTGGAAGATTGGTCTCAGTAGTTCATCTAAAGAGATCACTAGTTGATCAACTCTGAGGTTGTTTTCAATCCGTGCGGGTGGCACCTTGCTGAACTCTGATCTTAATTGATAAGGATTGTTAGTTTTCCTGCTGATGTTTTCTGGTTTTCTGGATTCTTCCACACAAAACATTTCTGCCATGATATAGCTAAGGTAGCTGAATGTGGCATTAAACACCAAAAAATAATATTAAGGGGGGGATAATGAATCTTTTTCCAATAGTGGTCACTTTAACCAGATGTTATTTAATTTTTTTCAGATTGATGCAGTATTGTCTTTTTCAAGATATTAAACTTATGGAGAATATTCTGAATAGATTAATGGTAAGTGTTCACTTTAGGAAATTCTGTGGGTAGATTGTGGTACATTATGCATACATAACACCTGAATGAGGCAGACAGCTGGATCACCAGTTTTTGGTGGAGTTCATGTTGCTCAGTCTTTAGTTTTCTATGTTGTGTTTTGTGTACTATTGTTTGTCTGTTGGTATTAATCTTTTATAGCCATAGCGTTGTCAGTTTATTTTCGACTTAAAAGTTTGAATGTCCCTCTGGTATCTCCCCTATCTTCTATGATAGAAGCCATCATATGCTTTATAATATTCAAATAAAACTGAGTGTATTCCAAAATGCCTAGTAATTTCTTGTGATTTTGACAAGTTTGATCAGATTGATAAAGGAGTACTAAATGTATTGGACCAAATATGGGCTCAAATAGTTTGAAATATTGTAATGGTATTCACTGTTTTCAAAATACTGTTAAATCCTTAAAAGGTATAAAGTATGTTCTAGAGCCTGTACTTTTGACAGATGCTCATGCTCAAACACACCTTGTTGCTGGCAATCACTACAGCAGATACAATATTATTTGTTTCCAATTGCCATGAATCTTTTTCCAATAGTGGTCACTTTAACCAGATGTTATTTAATTTTTTTCAGATTGATGCAGTATTGTCTTTTTCAAGATATTAAACTTGTGGAGAATATTCTGAATAGATTAATGGTAAGTGTTCACTTTAGGAAATTCTGTGGGTAGATTGTGGTATATTATGCATACATAACACCTGAATGAGGCAGACAGCTGGATCACCAGTTTTTGGTGGAGTTCGTGTTGCTCAGTCTTTAGTTTTCTATGTTGTGTTTTGTGTACTATTGTTTGTCTGTTGGTCTTAATCTTTTATAGCCATAGCGTTGTCAGTTTATTTTCGACTTAAAAGTTTGAATGTCCCTCTGGTATCTCCCCTATCTTCTATGATAGAAGCCATCATATGCTTTATAATATTCAAATAAAACTGAGTGTATTCCAAAATGCCTAGTAATTTCTTGTGATTTTGACAAGTTTGATCAGATTGATAAAGGAGTACTAAATGTATTGGACCAAATATGGGCTCAAATAGTTTGAAATATTGTAATGGTATTCACTGTTTTCAAAATACTGTTAAATCCTTAAAGGTATAAAGTATGTTCTAGAGCCTGTACTTTTGACAGATGCTCATGCTCAAACACACCTTGTTGCTGGCAATCACTACAGCAGATACAATATTATTTGTTTCCAATTGCCATTTAAGACGATTGTTTTTGCCAACTTGAACTTTTTGTCTGCATTTCTGGTTGCCATTGCAATACAATGGATTTTCAATCGTATTCAGCAGATTTTGAACTATATATACCATTTGCAATTAAGATATCCAGTAAAAAGATGTGCCAAGTAAACAATTGATGTGATTGGTGTATTGACCTTTTTCTATAGATTGAAGTGGATCACAAATTTCAACATCATTCAAATGTATTTGTCTTAGATTCTTTTGTTTATATATTAGGGAAAATACCTGGCAAAAGAAATAAATATTGTTCATGCAGTTGATTCCAAAAACTAAGAAATATTTTCTGTGTTTCAGATGTACATCAAATCATGCTTCAAAGATCAAACCAGTAGAATTTCTTGAAAAGAGTAGGACATAGGAGCAGGTTCTCACCTCATACAAGGTTGGTATTGTTATAGTTGCAAAGGGTCTGAAATACCTCTCAATCTGATGTTGCCTTGATTACCTGGATGTCAACTTTAGTTCCAATAAGACTGAGCTGCTTAAAAACTATGTTTTACTCACATAGCCATCTTTGGAAAGTTGACGAAACACAATGGAATTTTAGGCAAATATTTCTTGATGTGTCAAAAAATAAACAATTCATGAAAGGAATATGTACTTTTTTGCTGTTCTTCATCATTAACTGTTGCTGTAAGGTCTTCAGCAATACACTGAAATGCACATACTTAACAGCAATGTCAAGACGACTTCTACTGTCAACTTGAGCAATATGTGATGTTTGATAATTGCCGATAAGGTGACCTTACTCCTATTGGAGGAATCCAACTGTATTTAATACATGTAGAAGAATACTTTTAATGAGAAAGTAACAAGAAATTTAATTGTCCAGATTTGTTACATCAGTAGAAAAACATTTTACACAATGAAATTTTATTAAAGCTTATGAGAAATTCACAGAAATTCTCTAGATGTATTTTGGTTATTTTTGTCATTTTGTTTCTGTCTCATTGACGCACAACCCTCACAACTTTTATTCATATCTAAAAATAGAATATACAGGGTATTTATATGACCTTTTGATCTACTAATATAAAAACGAGGAGATCCGGTATGACTGCCAATGAGACGGCTGTCCACCAGAGACCAAATGACAAAGAAGGTAGCAACTATAGGTCAACCACTGTACAGCCTTCAACAATGAGCAAAACCCATACCTGATTAAGCCTGGTTTTGGGACCAAAATGTAAAATGGTGGTGAAAATTTTCAGAATTGTACTGAACAGTACCTTTATGAATATTGTTGTAAAACATTTCTTCTGGAGTCTCTAAATGTTAGTTGCCATATGTTCCTTTGAAATTTTTATCATTAAATTAAATTGACTTGTAGATTTTAATTTTTAACATTTTGTATATTGTAGTGAGGAGGAACAATTGACTTGAAAAACATACTTTATGAGAAAAACAGAACTCGTGGAACATGAAATCAGATAGATGAACTCCTAGAAACTAATGGTCAGATGAAACAAGCAAAAGTCTGAAATGAACATGAGGAACTATTTCAATCTACATAACAGCTGCTTTATCACCAATTTTATGAAGTAATTGTCACCTACTGACCGAACTGATGAACATAGTAAAACAATAAACATGTAAATTACAAATATTCTTGCCAATTTATATGACTTATATTTCCAAATTGTATAAATTGTATACATGTATGGTCAGAATGGGAGAGAGAGAGAGAGAGGTGTATGATGGTCAGAGTAAGAGAAAGAAAGATATATGATGGTCAGAGTGTATTCAATATAGATATGAAATTGAATACATCTGATATTTTTATTATCTAGAGCTCTGTAAAAAAAAAAAATTGTAAACAGAGTTCTAGATAATCAACATTAATGGTGGTGTAAAAAGGGGACATATTTAATTTTCTCTTATATACCCTTGCCCCTGTGCAGGGGGCATTAACGGTAACAGTTGTACATCCGTCTGTATATCCCAAAATTAGTTTACATCCTCTAACTTTAGTTTGCCTCTACCAAATGTATGAAACTTATACACAATGCTTATAACCAAAAGCACAGATCAAGTTAGAATTTGGGTTGCATCACCTTTAACGTTCTTAAGTAATGTCCATTTATGCTAGCAAGGGCATATTCTGTGTCCCATGGACAAATTCTCCATTTATTTTCAATATATTTATATATTTATGAAATTTAATAATTTGATATTTATTATCTAGAGCTTTGTTAAAAAAAATGTAAAAAATAAAATATGAAAAAATATGAAAACAAAATTGTGAACAGAGTTCTAGATAATATACATTAAGGGTGGTATAGAAAGGGGTCATATTTTCTTTTTTTTTTTTTTTTCCAAATTTATGAAATTAAATACATCTGATATTTTTATTATCTAGAGCTCTGTAAAAAAAAATTGTAAAAACATTAGATAAAAAAACTATGAAAACAAAATTGTAAACAGAGTTCTTGATAATAAACATTAAGGGTGGTTTAATAAAGTTGGAATATTTAGTAATTTCTGTCTGGTCAATGTAATTATATTACAAAACACTTTTGATATTTTATGAATGATTATCCTCAAAACGGCAAAAACCCAAATTTGATAATTTTATAAATTTGGAATCAAATTCCATCTTCTCCTTTGATAACATTTAAACAGCATTTTGTAAATTTCTGTAAATATGTTGATATTGTCTGTTTTTGTCAGATAATTTGTTTGTTTGGTTTTTTTTTTTATGTAACGAATTGTAACTATTGTATTAGAATTGTATCTTTTTCCTATAGAATATTCATTTTTTTTTTAAATAAAACAAAATTTTTTCAACATCGTATTTTTATTTCTTGATTTAGTTGAATAGAAACTTTTTAAATAGGAAGATTTGGTATGGTTGTCAATGAGACGGCAATCCATAAATACTAAAGGAAAAAGTTGTGAACAATTACTGGTTACTACTATACATTCTTCATCAATGAGCAAACCCATACATGATTACCTGGATGTCAACTTTAGTTCCAATGAGACTGAGCTGCTTAAAAACTATGTTTTACTCACATAGCCATCTTTGGAAAGTTGACGAAACACAATGGAATTTTAGGCAAATATTTCTTGATGTGTCAAAAAATAAACAATTCATGAAAGGAATATGTACTTTTTTGCTGTTCTTCATCATTAACTGTTGCTGTAAGGTCTTCAGCAATACACTGAAATGCACATACTTAACAGCAATGTCAAGACGACTTCTACTGTCAACTTGAGCAATATGTGATGTTTGATAATTGCTGATAAGGTGACCTTACTCCTATTGGAGGAATCCAACTGTATTTAATACATGTAGAAGAATACTTTTAATGAGAAAGTAACAAGAAATTTAATTGTCCAGATTTGTTACATCAGTAGAAAAACATTTTACACAATGAAATTTTATTAAAGCTTATGAGAAATTCACAGAAATTCTCTAGATGTATTTTGGTTATTTTTGTCATTTTGTTTCTGTCTCATTGACGCACAACCCTCACAACTTTTATTCATATCTAAAAATAGAATATACAGGGTATTTATATGACCTTTTGATCTACTAATATAAAAACGAGGAGATCCGGTATGACTGCCAATGAGACGGCTGTCCACCAGAGACCAAATGACAAAGAAGGTAGCAACTATAGGTCAACCACTGTACAGCCTTCAACAATGAGCAAAACCCATACCTGATTAAGCCTGGTTTTGGGACCAAAATGTAAAATGGTGGTGAAAATTTTCAGAATTGTACTGAACAGTACCTTTATGAATATTGTTGTAAAACATTTCTTCTGGAGTCTCTAAATGTTAGTTGCCATATGTTCCTTTGAAATCCTTATCATTAAATTAAATTGACTTGTAGATTTTAATTTTTAACATTTTGTATATTGTAGTATTAGAATTGTATCTTTTTCCTATAAAATATTCATTTTTTTTTTTAAATAAAACAAAATTTTTTCAACATCGTATTTTTATTTCTTGATTTAGTTGAATAGAAACTTTTTAAATAGGAAGATTTGGTATGGTTGTCAATGAGACGGCAATCCATAAATACTAAAGGAAAAAGTTGTGAACAATTACTGGTTACTATTCTACATTCTTCTTCAATGAGCAAACCCATACATGATGAAATGCAAAACAATCTGAAAGAGAAAACAAATGGCAAGATTTGTACTACAAAAAAAATCAAAACGAAAAAATGACTGACAGCAACCAACAACCACTAGATTACAGGTTCCAGGCTCAGGACGGGCAAGGAAAATGACATTGTTAAACATGTATGTCAATCTGATCAAAATCATAACTTTCATTTTGCTACATTAGATTTGTTTGTCCCTCTTGTGAGGCCACAAGGGGTCATGTTTTGATGACTGAAAGCAGATTTTTGTCGAGCCTGCAACAGTGATCCTAGATTTTGGTGGCAGCATCGCATTTAGATTGTCTGTAGTTAAGTTTTTTTTAGACATCAATAGCTTCTCAAACCTTTATGGTATTTTATGAAATTTGGACAGAAGCCTTTTTATGACAAAAAAACATATCCACAGCAAACCTTGACCTAATTAATTGATCATTTTACTCTCGAAATTACAAAAGAGATATCTCTTGTGTCAACAGTTTATTTAAAAAGGGAAGATAATACCAAAGGAGGAAATCAAAAACCATAAGTATTTTCAAAACAGCAATCCAAAAAAAACTACACGGAAAACAAAGGATTGAGCAACAAAAACCCATAAAAAACAGGAGTGAACTCAGTGGGTAAGCAGCTCATGCTCCACTAGGATATGTGTCATGTTAATCATCGATAAGTAAAATTCTGTGATTAGTTGACCTGAGAACACGGTTATTCTGTTGTGCATTTTTAAACAAAAAAGGCAGATTAAAAAAATCTGTGCTTTCTAAATAAGATTTTTAGTAAAGTGTACTACTTTTGGGACAAATTATATAACTCAATATATGGACAATCTTATGTTAAGGAGGTCTTTAATGAGTTCAGTTTGAGAGCTTCAGACATACTTTTGTTTGAACTTTTTTTTAACTTTACCTTAAAATTCATGACTAAGTTTTTTTTACAGTGTAACTGCATCCCCCTACTTTCTATTTTATGCCCAAAACAGAAGTAAATTCGAAAAGTGTATGAAATTTTTTTTAAAGAAATACACTGTCCACACTACAAATTATATTTGTAGACCACCAAATTCATAGGATGATTACTGTGTTCCTGGGGCCAGTTCCAATCAGTGACTTCACAATCCAAGCAAAGAGGACTGGATTATGGATAAAACAAGTAGAATATATCTGTTGTCATCTGTGACAGAAAACAATGGACAACAGGCAAAATTAAAAATGATGGCAATAATAGTTGGGAACGA